GCTTGATCCCATCTCCGTCTAATACGTGGCCCAAGTACAAAACTTGCATCTTGGCCCACTCACACTTCTTCGCGTTGATCTTGAAGTTAACCTCTCTGAGCTTCTCCAAGACCTGCCTCAAATGACCCTGGTGCTCTGGGAGGGTCCTACTGAAAACTAGGACGTCGTCCAAATACACTACAACGAATCTATCTAACCAAGGCCTAAACAGGTCATTCATACATCGCTGAAATGTGGCTGGCGCATTGGTCAGTCTAACGGGCATCACTATAAACTCATAATGCGCATAACGAGTCCGGAACGCAGTCTTGTATTGGTCCTCAGGATGGACTTCTATCTGATGGTAACCGGACTTCAAATCTATCTTGGAGAAATACTTACAACCCTGCACCCGATCTAAGAGATCGTCTATCCTGGGCAGTGGTTCAGCATTCTTGACTGTAATCGCATTCAGACCCCTGTAGTCTATACACATGTGCAATTCTCCTTCCTTCTTGGGGACAAACTGAACTGGTGCTCCAAAAGGAGACAACTGGGCCTAATCCAACCCTTCTCGAGGAGCTCGTCCAGTTGCTTACGCAGCTCCTCCAACTCTCTAGGGGACATCCTGTAGACTGCTCCCTTAGGAGATTTTGAACTCTTCCAACAGCTTGGCTATGGCTGCTGGATCTGTGGAACTCACCTCTTCCTTAGCCTCAGTGACAGGTCTAGCATACACTACAAAGACCTGATCCTCTAACTGCTTCTTTTTCACTAATCGCGCGAACGCGGGAGCACTAAGACAGCAATGTGCCAGCGAGTTGTCTACTCCTGACACATGGAACAGACGGGTTGTCTTAACCTCGCCTGACGGACTAGGGTGCCTACACTCATGCTCTCTCAAATGGAGTGTGGCCCCTGCTGCCTCTCCCCAGTCCATACGTAGGACTATATCAAACGGAAGGTTATCCTGTACAAGGAGAGTCAGGGAAAGGAAAACTCTCTCTACGGCTATGGGGTCTTTCAATTTCTGGACTTTTAATCCTAGCCTCAACTTCTTCAGCGCCCTACGGCTAATATAGCTGCGGGTAGCCCCTATAAGGGCCCCAACTTTACTCCTGAAAACCTCTACATCTACCAGTACTAGCTGCCCTTTGCTATCTTTCTTCATCTTGGCCCAGGCAGGCATCCTTTCCTTCAATTCCTCTGCCACGCCTGTGAGGGACGTGTCTAGAGAGACGCTGACACAAGCAGTCTCTAGACAGCTAACTAGGCACGGGCCTGCAACCTCTGTCGAAGGCTCATGTGGTGTGGGAGTTTCCTCTACGCATGCGCTCGCTTCCCCACATGGCCTAAGAGTAGGGGCAGTTGCGACCCCTACCGGCGGCTGCCTTTTGCCTCTTGGGCAGCCCAACGGGCCTGTCTATACTTGGGACAATATTTTATGATGTGGGCAGGGTCACCACAATAAATGCACTGCCCCTGCTCTATCCGCTGCTGCCACACTTTCTAGTCCAGGCCCAGATCTTCCCAGGGCCGGCCTTGTGGCCAGCCTGGGTGCCAACCTCCTGACCTTTGAGGTGACCTGCCACCTCGTCGCTGTGGGGACCGACTGGGACCTTGACGATTCGGCGGGGGACCTTGACCCCTACCTCCCGCTTGACGGTTCCCTTGACCACCAACCCCTTGTGTGCCCGATCCTCGGCCTCCCATGGCCTGGCCCCTTTGACCCTGCCCTCCTCCTCTACCCTGCGACCTCCCTCCAGACCTCCCCTGTCCTACGCTGCTGTCCTCCTCCTCAAGTTCCCACTCAATCTGGCTGTAGGGGACCTCATCAGTACCACCTTCCTCCAATGTAAGGATCATGTGATCCTTGGCCCTGACTTGGCCAGAGATGGTACGGCCTTTCCACTTTTTGCCCTTGTCTAAGTGTTTGTGCAAGAAAGTGGAAAATGGCATTGACTTTGCTTCGAACAGAACCACTTCTCTACTCAGCGCATCATACGTCATAGTGGGCTGTTGGGATTTGTCAAAGAAATACCCTCGTAAGGGCTCTGGTATGGCACGATAGAAGAGTCGGACCAGTTGGGACTCAGTCACCCCATGGTCCGGGACGGCCACCAGGTCGTCCATCACGGTCTTGAGTGCCTTGGCACTCCTCCACTGCCGTGAGTGGATGGTTTGGAGTTTGTCAGAGGCTCTTACGCCCCTGCGAAGATCAGCGAATCGCTCCCTGAGGAGCTTGAAGAATTGAGGAAGGGGGTTGACCTTGGAATAAGCGACCATGTTGTTTTCACAACCGGCCGCGCGCGCGAGAGACCTAGCAAAACTAGCTGCTTCCTCCTTGAGGGCTTGGAAGGCTACAAGGACCTGTTCGTCCTGTACAATATGCTGTAAGTAAACATAGTTGTTTACGCTAGCCTCCCAGTTATCGAAATTCTCCTCAGGCTTCCCGCCGTACGCGTCTGGGAACTTAAGCTTAACTGGTTCCTTGCGGGGTCTGGCCTCGCTCTCGACGGTGGCAACGGCTTTGGCACCCTCAATGGCGCCTTCACAAAACTTCCCCACGTTATCTCTCAACCGCCGGACTTCGGCCCCAATGTGGGTCACCATGTCGCATGCAAACTCTCGAAACCCTGACCGCATGGCATTCAGGGCCACATCATGACCCCAGTTGGCTTGGCGTTCCTCCAGCCAGGCCTCACTCAACACCTCCAGGTACCCCAACATCTTGTCCATTTTGGCAGTAACATCTGCCTGCGCCTGCACTTCTTACCTACAGGCTCTCACCTTCTCCACCTCTGTGGTCAACCGATTAACTTCCTCCCTCCTTCTCTTCTTCTCCCTCTTCATTCTCAACTTCCACTCCAACTTCTTCTCCTCATCTGTCTCCTGTCGTTCCAGGGGGTCCTCAATCGTTGCTAGTGCCCTGGCAAACACCTCCTTCTCCTCCTGCGGCACATACAACTGTGCCTCCTCATCTTCCCCCAACGATAAATTAGCTATGCACTCACTGATCTTCTTCTCCATCTCCGCATCCTCATTCGTCGTGCCACTACTCTCCCGTTTTGCTTCCCTATATCTTCTCTCTTCTGCTTCCTCTGCTGCCGCTTCTTCCTCGGCAACCTTTTTCTTCTCCTTCATCTCCTCCTCCAACTTCTTCATTTTCGCCGCCTGCTCCTCTGCGATTGCTTTCAATTTCACCTGCTTCAGGAGCTCTTTCCTCTCTCTATTCTCTTTCACTAATGCGGCCATCTGCTCTTGTTGAGCCTGGGTATAGGGGCTAGTGCTCTTCCCACTACGGGTGTCAACCATGGTGATTAGTGTACAACCGGGTTAGCGGTTCCGAACCTCACCACTTAGACTCTAACCCCTGACTGACAAACTGACTGACTCAATCTAAAGACTCACAGAATCCAGACAGGGATCCTGTCAACTAGGTTCTCTAGCCTAGACCTACTCTAAGGCTGTCACTACTAGACCTGTTGCTGATCACGAGGCATTTAAGGAGATCCGCCGTAACTCCTCAGGAATTATTTAACGTCGCAAACAGGACGACGCGATCAGCAGGTCTCTCAACACTTAGACTGCCTGTTGTGCAGCCCACAGCTCAGCTTTTCGGGCCCACCGTGCCACACCGAGCAGCCCGCCGGTCTGTACCGGTCCTTGGGAGGGTTCGTGTCCTTCGGGACAGTCGCGTCGTCAAACACAGTCTTTAGCCCTACTTGGTCCGGCAGGGGTTTGGTCAACGAGGCCCTATCCTTCATCCACAGAGTTCCTACACCTAGACAGAAGAGACTCAATGCCGAAAGAAGAGACAGACAGACTTGACCCAGCAAGTACCACAGGTTGTGCGCACATCCATAGGGCGAGGGGTAGGCTTAAGGCTTGGCGAGATTATACCGGCGCCAGCTTGGCCAAAATCGTGGTCAACGGTCTTGGTCAATGCCTTGGTCAACGCTCAGTCAACGCTGCAGTCAGCCTCCGGTCAACGCCGGTCAACGCCGGTCAACTCCCGATCAACCCCGATCAACATCTGGTCAACTCTCCCGGTCAACTCCGCTGGTCAGCTATGGCTGCCGGCTTCTCCTTCCTCACCACCCTTCTCCTTCCTTTCTCCTTCCTCGCCACCTTTCTCTTCACCCCGGCTGTCTTCTATCTCTCTCTCTTTTTTTTTTTTTTTGAGCGTCTCTCCCTTCGCCTCCTCGGCTATGTCTTCGCTCTCCCTTCTCAGTCTCACCCTCTGTCCTCTCTCACATCCTCCTTCTTCATCACTCCGTGGTACAAACTTCGCGGCTATGGCCGCTTCCTTCATCCTCGTGGGACTGCACAGCGCACTTCACAGGTAAGTGACAACCAAACTTGTATCNCCTCTCTCTCTCTCTCTCTCTCTCTCTCTCTCTCTCTCTCTCTCTCTCTCTCTCTCTCTCTCTCTCTCCGCCATAGCGATGTCTTCAACGCAGAAACGTGGTAAGCCAATCTTGTATCGCTCAACCTTTCTCTCTCCCTCTCTCTCTCTCTCTCTTCCTCTCTCGGTCTTCTTCTTCGTCGTGGTCTTCTCTGCAGGTACGCGCGGCGGCTTCTCCAACCTCAGTGTCCGCTATGGCGGACTTCTTCTTCGTCGGCCACCTCAGCTATGGCGCATCACTCCCTGCGGCGCACAACGCGGCGTGTGGAACAGCGGGTACCAGCTCCGATACCAATGCAATCAGACTTGCTTTCATTCACACTTTACATGCATGCAAACAGTAGGGCAGCAAACTGGCGACATGCGCCCACTCAAAACTCAGAGATATGGCAACCCAGATACGAGTTCACTTCCGCCCATACAACTCTCTGTTCGCATACAGTGGATCACCCTGGATATCCCACACGCGTCTCTCTGAACACTCGCACACACACACACTGAACACTAACTATGGCGGCTATGGCCGCCTCTACCCTATCGCTATGGCTTCACTTCGTCTCTCTGCCCACTTCGTCTTCGGGCTCACTGCAGACCTCCTTGCACAAGTCGCTGTGGCAGCGCTTCCACATGGCTCACGCAGGAATGAATGAATGGCTGGGCGCTGCCTCTTGATTTATACTTCTGCAGCTCGTTGGTCTGGCCCTTTCCCATGCCCGAAGTGCACACAGTCCCATGCGGTACTTGCTTGACTGGACCAGACTGCCTAGGACTGGGACTGCTGACTCAGCACGGGCAGACTCCACCACTTGCCTCACTACTTGCCCACTTGCCTCAGTCTAAACGTAGGCAACTCCGAAAGGCCACTGGTGGGACCTTCCGGAAGGCCGTAGGCCTTTCGTGACTGTAGCAGCTACGACTTGACCCTTCTGGACTGTAGCAGCTACGATCTTGACCTTTCGGGAAAACTACAGCTACGACTTCTAGACCTGACTAAGACTCCTACTCGACAGGTCTACAGATCGAACCCCTGCTACCTATAGACCCTACGACGACCTACCAACTGTTACAAATACACAGGTCGCGGGTTCAACTCTAGGGGTCGACACAGATACTGTACACAGGTAAGGTGGGGACTAGGGATCGAGCCCTGGAATCTGCATCAGCTACTGCGAACTGGTGAATACTGTTTCAGAATTGCCTCAGGCAGTTTTTGCAAGTGCATCCACTTTGGTTATTGGCTCCTTCAGTTTCCATTATTCCGTGTTATATTGATGGTGTATTATGTTGTGTAAGCAAGACAGCCACAGCTGTGGGTCCCTTGCAAGTGTCACAACTCACGAACGCATGGAACTCTTGCCGCCATGGTAGGAAGGGTGTTGGAAACCAAGTAAGGACATGATGCCATGGACAAGCTGATGAGCAACACCATCTGGTTCAATGGTTAGGTGATTCTAAAGCCAATCTTTACACTGCTTTACGCTTGAAAGTTTGGACTCCAAACTTCATGAGCTGAACAAAAGGCCATATGACTGCCAATCTATAGATTCTGACGTTCCACAGAGCTGTAAACTTGAAAGTCTCAACTCCAAACTTCAGAAACCTGAACTGATGGGATGACTGCCAATACGACGTTATGCAACGCAATTGATCATTCAAAATTGCAGTATGTGCAAGGCGTTACATCTCAGGGAGGATGCATCATGTCACCAGGCCTAGGAGCACGGCAGCTCGCAATTCTCAAGCACCACCCTTCTGCCTTCTGCTCTAAATGAAACTTTAGATATCTCAGGGAGGATGCATCATGTCACTAGGCTTAGGAGAACGATAGCTTGCACTTGTCAAGCACCGCCCTTCTGTCCTGAAAGTCAAAATGAAGCTTTAGGGCCTTGCCGCACGGCACACGAAACGCAAACGAAACGAGCGCATCTGCCCACGAAAGGTAGGTGGGAAAATAGTAAAATACACTCGTCACTATTTATAGCAAACTGATGAACCTGTCCATTTTCTGTGGGAAGATAAACTAATTTCGTTTTTCGTTTCGTGTGCAACTTGACAACCTTAGTGAAGTGAGCGAAAAAGATCTCACCTCTGTTGTAGATGGTGTGGATAACTCTCTCAGGGCTTTACGGATACCCTGTCGCTCTAGCACCCACACACAGGATTCCTCTAATGCTCTGATCGTAGCAGGTCGTGGCATGGTGTACATCATGGCTAAATCGCCAAAATAATCACCCGCTCCTTTCACACTGATCTTGCACTCAGCACCGTTCATCAATTCTGTGCACTGCAACACAGCATAAGTACAAAAGGCCCACAGAAAGTGATAAGCACAACATGCTACAGGCAAGCAGAGTAAACTGCATTCATAAAAAGGAAGAGGAAGGAGACTAGTGGAGAAATGGCATGCACTGATGCATAGTAATATGACCAGCAGCTCACATAATGGTTAACCGGCTGGTAGGAATCATAAGAACAAGAACACTGGCATACACTAATGGGCTTTGGCTTTGCATATAGAAGACAACTGTGTTCAGAAATCATGAACAGGCTGCAATAAAATAGTCACAAAAATGATAAAAGTTACCCATCGAGGAGAAAAACGCACACTGACCAATTTCATATAGAAGACTGGTGTTCAGAAAAATGGTTGCCGCCCAGTTTCAAACTTCGAACACCGAATGTGAAATGCTCGCTGCAACGATTCCCTCAATCCTGAATCTTCACCTGTGACCAATTATGCCATTTGAATACACAATCTCATTGCTTTTGTCATTCATATGGTACATCACCGTCTTCTTCTTTTTTCTTTCTTTCTTATTTCAGAAGCAGGGGAGATTCTAAGAATCTAAGATGACTGCTTCTGTCAGGATTTGAACTAATCTGACTTATTTTATCAACAGGTACATGTGTGTGCCACTCAGCCACACAGTTCCACAAGGCTGGATAGATGCATAACTTCCATAGTTTTGTGAAGTATTGTCCTCTGAGTACATTGTTTGTTTGTTTTTTTTTAGTTTTGTGAACTTTTGTCCTCTGAGTACATTGTTTTTTTTCTTTTTTTTGTCACCCACCGACCTTGTTTTAGTTTTGTGAACTTTTGTCCTCTGAGTACATTGTTTTTTTTCTTTTTTTTGTCACCCACCGACCTTAACACTTGAACACCATCTTACTTTACTTTGTGCACACCTCAAACCAATCACGCTGTAAAGACAGTGAGAGTCTGCTCTGGTACCACTGCAATGATCCCACTTTCACATACAGCTTGCACGCATCACAATTCACACTTCAGCAGAACAATCTCTACACATTGACACAGTACGAGAACATTTTGGAAATTGCTCGAAAGTTCGTCTCATGCAACAAAAAGTCTCATGTACACATGCTTGCCGCTATGGCTGCCAAGCCTTCCCCCCGATCTCTCTCTCTCTCTCTCTCTCTCTCTCTCTCTCTCTCTCTCTCTCTCTCTCTCTCTCTCTCTCTCTCTCTCTCTCTCCCGATCAGCTATGGCGACGGGTGCCTGTCAACTACCCTACTCTAGTCTGGCAGCATCACTCAATGCTTGTGCGCATAAGACCCCAACAGAACTTCCGCAGTATGCACCAATGAAAATTGTGTTGAGTCTGTTGACATTCTGCTGATACCGGCCTTTGGTATTGCTGTAGTTCCCAGATTTGGATCTTTCCAGACCGCTACCTTTCACCTGCCAGCCGTGGCCTGCTTTCGTTGGATCCAGAGCTTTCACAGACTTTCCTGGGACAGTGTTGCATTTTTGGATTGACAGACTGACACCTACCGACAAGTAACAAGCCAGGCCTACTGGACTCTCTAACAACCGGCCTACTTTCAACGGGACCTACAGGGTCTACCAACTAATGTACGGACGACCTATGACTGCTACTGGTTGAGACTCTGTTGCATGGGACTCTGGAACTTGGAATTGGGACTGGAACTACTGAGATGTGTGAAATCCTTTCATCTGATGTGGCTTTTGTATTTACAAAGAGAGAGCATTTTTTAGCTGTCCCCCACCTATATTCACAAACCTCCTCCCCCGCCTCTATTCACAAAGCAGCCCCATTCTGCCGGCTCAGATTTCAAATCAGTGATGTCTTTTTCTGGCTTAAACCAGCAGTACACTCGGGCCTGGCGGGCTCTGCTGCGTGCCAAGCTTTACCGAACCACCAGCGGCGCACTTCTTTTCTTATTTGGCTGGCGCCGCCAGCCATTGTGGTCCGGTAGCCCTGAGCCTCCAAAATTTACGTAGGTGATGAAAGATTTCTCCACAATGCTGGGGCCGTGCACTGGCGGTTCAAACAGCAAGATTTGATCTTGTGGTCAGAAATACTTTCCTTCAGAACTGCTACTGATCATTCATATGACTATTCTGAGCCTATTGGTGTAGAAATTTACTGTCATGCTCGGGTACGATCCACTTCCCAGGACAGGCAGGCTTGGGGGAACCACCCAGGAAAACCAGGGGGTCACAAAAGAGGCAAGGATCCAAAAGGAAAAAAAGTTGACTGCAGGCCAGGACTGTGCTTGGCCTGAGCAGTAAGATTCCGGCCTTATCTTCCAATCTGGTGATTGGTCACCAAGGGGGTTTCGGGGGGGTATCAAGTTACCATAAACAGGTGTGGAAGGGAATCGAAGGGTTACATCTAAACTCTCTCTCTCTCTCTCTCTCTCTCTCTCTCTCTCTCTCTCTCTCTCTCTCTCTCTCTCTCTCTC